ATCCAGAACCTCCATCTGAAGTCCTTCTGGACTAGTCAGTGGGACTTGTACGTCTACTGAGGGATTGTCTGCAGACTTACAAGGTACCTCCTTCTCTTTGGAACTTAATATGTGGTCTATGTGTACAAATCGAATCTTACAATTGTTATACATGTATACCAAATAGGTACGAGAACCACAAACCTTGATTACCTTCCCAGGCAACCATTTAACTAGTCCACCTACATTACTCTTGTCTCTAACTCTATCATCTACATGCAATATCTGTTCTTGTACACGACCCTTGTCATGATACTCAGTTTGTTTAGCTTGCTTCCTATCAATTTCTTGAGCCAGATTAGGCTTCAGTAATGAGAACCTAGTTCTAGGTTGTCTCTTTAGAAATAACTCTGCGGGTGTTCTACCCGTCGTGGTATGAGGACTATTACGGTAAGTAATAAGGAAGTTTGCTAACTTGTGGTGTAATGACAAGTTTCGTTTACGTGGGTTAGGATCAAGTAATCGCTTAATTAGCGCCTTCTTCACAATTTGAACGGTACATTCCGCTGCCCCATTGGAAGCAGGATGATATGGCGCTATACGTTTATGTATTATACCATTTCTAATCATAAACTCGGCAAAGTCACTAGAGATAAACTGGGGCCCGTTATCCGAGACTATCTCTTCGAGTAACCCATAAGAACTAAATAGTCTTCTTAAAATATCAAGAGTTTTGTTTGTTGTGGTAATTTTCGTTGGATACACTTCTACCCATTTTGAATGACTGTCTATAACAATGAACAAATGTTGACCCTTTAACTCAGCATAATCAACATGCAACCTCTGCCAAACACGACTTGGCCACTCCCATGTTTGGAGTGGTGCTAGAGGTGGTTTGTTTCTGACAGACAGACATGCTTCACATTGGTTTACAAGATTCTGAATATCTTGGTCTAACCCTGGCCACCGTAAGTAGCTTCGAGCTAACCCTTTCATTCTACATATGCCCAGGGGCTGTTCATGTAAGTCATTTAATAATATTGACCTAAATTTGCCAGGTATTACTACTCGTAATCCCCACAAAATACACCTCTTGTCAACTGACAATTCATTTCTGCGTATGAAGAAAGGCTGTATCTCTTTATCCTTAACATGGTTTGGCCAACCATTCAAAACGTAATCATACACCTTAGCTAATAAGGGATCTTTGATTGTTGCTTTACCAATATCATTTGCCGTTATAGGTAAGTCATCAACATATGAGAAATAATTTATTACTTCTACATGTTCATCTGTAGAATCTTTGGTAGGTAACCTAGATAACATATCTGCATTACAGTAATCATTAGATTTCCTATAGACGATGTCATATTTGTATGCTGACAATAGTAACGCCCAACGCTGCATTCTTGCTGCAGCCAAAGTTGGCACAGGGGATTCAGGGTTTAATATAGCAGTAAGTGGCTTATGATCGGTGATCAAGACAAAACGTCTCACATATAAGTATTTATGGAATTTTCTGACACCATACACTATGGATAGTGCCTCGCGTTCAATTTGCGCATAGTTTTGTTCACTTTTAGATAGTGTCCGTGACGCAAAAGCAATGGGGCGTTCCTCACCGTTTGGCATTATGTGCGAGATAACCACACCCACACCGTACGGAGAAGCATCGCACGCTAACCTCAATTCCCTGTTTACATCATAATGTACTAGCAATGAGTTATCTAGTATTAATTTCTTACTATTTTGGAATGCAACCTCGCAACCCTTATCCCAGCACCAAGGTGTCTGTTTGCGCAATAGCGCATTTAACGGATTTATAACCGTAGATACATTTGGAAGAAATTTCCCGTAGTAATTTAGTAAGCCTAAATAGGAGCGCAATTCGGTAATGTTTGTGGGACTAGGTGCTTGTGCAATCGCTTCTACCTTGTCTGATGTAGGGTGTATACCATTTCCATCTATTTTGTGACCCAAATAGACCACTGATGGTTTACCAATTTCACACTTCTGTTTTTTAACTCTCACACCATATTTCTCTAACCGTTGAAATACTTGGTTTAATCTAACCCAATGTTCTGACTCAGATGGTGCAGATATTAAAATGTCATCAAGGTAACATACTACTCCAGGAATTCCCTGTAATATTTGGTCCATCACACACTGGAATATTTCTGGTGCAGATGATATTCCAAATGGAAGGCGATTTAATTGGAATAGACCCAGGTGCGTATTTATTGTGAGATACTTCCTTGATTCACTATCCAAGCTTAATTGTAAATAAGCGTTGGTAAGATCAAGGGTGGTAAAAATCTTCCCGTCCTCAAGGGTAGCAAAAAGATCTTCTGCTGTAGGTAAGGAATGATGGGAATCAACTAACACTTTATTTACCGTAACCTTATAATCCCCACACAACCGTACTTTACCATCACCCTTCGGTACAACTACTATGGGGAAGCCCATTCACTACGATCTATCTTAAATATTATTCCATTTTCTAATAATCGTTTCAGTTCAAGTTCAACCTTGTCTTTTAATGCATATGGCACCGGCCGTGCCCTGTCTCTTATACACATCTAGATGTGTATAAGAGACAGCCATTTCTATTCATAAACTCGGCAAAGTCACTAGAGATAAACTGGGGCCCGTTATCCGAGACTATCTCTTCGGGTAACCCATAAGAACTAAATAGTCTTCTTAAAATATCAAGAGTTTTGTTTGTTGTGGTAATTTTCATTGGATACACTTCTACCCATTTTGAATGACTGTCTATAACAATGAACAAATGTTGACCCTTTAACTCAGCATAATCAACATGCAACCTCTGCCAAACACGACTTGGCCACTCCCATGTGCTCCAGTGTCCAACTCCATTTTAATTGGATTACCGTCGATCAAAAAATCCAAGATTATACCAGATTTGGATGTGTTCTTAACTGAATATAAATCATATTCATCCTCATCACTATCACTTGTATTGGTATATACTTGTTTGACTTCCTTTGCCTGTTGCTTCTTTTTTCGACATGCCCTGGCTAGGTGTCCTACCTTTTTGAAGAAACTGCAGGTTGTAGACTTGTGTGGGCAATTATTAGCATAATGTTCCTCGGTACATCGGTTGGTTTATGCGCCTTGGATGAACCTTGACTGCCTCATCCACCCTTTTGTTTTCCCGCACTAGGCCTAGGCTTATCTTTACTGTAGGTTGGCTTAGATTTAATTTTGTTTACGGTGATAGGCTTATTCTCACTTGGATTAAATTCCTTGGCTTGGGTATTAGCCAACTCCATGGCTGTTGCAATTTCAACCGCTTTATCTAAAGTGAGATATTTACCGTCAACAACTTCTTTTGGCACATGGAATTTCCCAGTCCACACACCAAACGATCTCGTAAGGCCTCGTTTAAGAATGCCTGAAACTTGCATGTCCGTGCAAGCCGTTTCAACTCTACTACATACTGGGCCACCGTTTCACCTTCCTTCTGGTTTCTACTATGAAATTTGAACCTTTCCGCAATAACAAGCGGTTCGGGTGTGTAGTTTTTAGTGAATAACTGCTTAAGCTCAGCCGATGTTCTATCACTAGGTTTGTCTGGTGATACTATATTCTTTAATAAGGCGTACGGCTTCGGTCCAATGACCGTAAGAAACACGCTCACAGATCGCTCGTCTGCTATCGCATTAGCCGCGAAAAACTGTTCGAGCCTCTCAAGGTAGTTCCCTGTTCTTCCCCTTCCTTATACTCGCCTATCTTACCAATTAGTGCCATTGTGTTCTATCTGGTCCTGGACTATACAGTAATGTTTTGGATCACTTATCATTTCAAGGATCCCATCCTCGTCGCCAAAATTTGTAATATCTTTGGATTCAAGAACGTATCAAAACGTACACAATGACTTCATTTCCAGAACAATTTATTTCACACACTCTAGAGGGCTCACATCTCACATAATGTTACAGTATTTAAATGATCCATGTATATTACAGTATAGGCCTAGAGATTACATTAACTTTCTGCAAATAATGATACAATTCTTTACACTACCCCCACCCCAGTTAACCCTAAACCCATTATTTTAATAAAGCATCATGGACATTAGTGAGAACACGGCCCAAATGCAATTTATCACTCTTCTTAGACTTATGGCAATGTTAGACTATGGGGCAATTAACTTACAGCTTGGCTAGGCCAACAAAAGGCCCAGGTTCTAGGCCTAGCCCTATCCTCAATGGCCTAGAGAGAACAGAGAACCTCAGTTCTGTCTGTCTCTGTACAGCGGCTAGGCTAGTATTACCGGTCAGCTAGGCTTAGGCTAGGCCAGGCCTCTTCATTCAAGCCTTCATTGTTATGTCTTGATAACAAATGCAAATGTAAAAAATATGTAGGTTCAGAACACGGCATGTAAACTATCAAACTCCATTTATTCAAGAACAACAACAAGTAGTATGGAGCGCCGTAAGCGCAGTAATCTGGGACTATGCATATATAACATATCCTCCCCTCCATTTAAAGAAATAAACATTTGTAACAAGGCTTGTCTTGAAAGTAAGTTGCATTACATACTGGTTAGATTAGATTAGACTTTCAGTTACCAATCTGGTGTAGTTACAATTAAAGTTCAATCATCAGTATTGTACAGTAATTAGTAGTTATGAATTAAAGTTCGGTTGTACAGTTAACTCTGAATAAAATGAACATTAGTTCAACTAAAATAACTTCTTGTGCACAGTTATTTATTATTTACAAGTTCAGTCTGTCTGGTGGGCGAACATTTTCCCTCCTTGAGTAACGTCGTACATGTTCTGCTTTCAGTGTAGATGGTGATTCCGTAGTTGGTGTAATTGTGGTAGGCATGTATGTTTCCTTGATGTCTGTCGAAATAAGGCTTTCTGGTTTTGAAGCATCAGTTAATGATTGTGTGTTATCTGGGCTTAAAGTTACAGTCGGTGTAACCTTAACTGCAGTAGGATGTAGTTGGTCAGTATGACGTCGCCACAATGTCCCCATTCCTGGGTTGACAGTGTAAGAAAGCGGTCCAGTCTTTTCTTGAATTTGAGCTGGTATCCACTTTGTGTTTGTGCTGCGGTAATCACGTACCATCACTTGTTGTCCAGGCTCGAATTCTCTAACGTTAGCGCCGCAGTGCTTCGAGAACTTCATGCGATCCTGACCTTCCAATACTTTGGCAGTTAAGTCAGGTTTCAGTATGTCTAACCTCGTTCTTAAATTTCGTCCATAGAGTAACTTTGCAGGTGTTTCCTTGGTAAGTGTATGAGGTGTCGTTCTGTATTTAAACAGAAAGGTGCTTAGTTGATCCTGTAGAGAACGGTTTTGAGATCTCCTTTCGCCTGTTTCATGGCTGTTTTAAATGTTTGCACAAATCTTTCCGCCAATCCATTGGTGCGCGGATGATAGGGTGCTGAAGTAATGTGACGTATTCCGTTTTGCTTCATAAAAATTTGGAATTCCTCAGAGGTAAACTACGATTCATTGTCGGTGACTAATTGTCGTGGAATTCCGCATTGACTGAAAAGAATACGTAGCTTTTCAATCGTCCGCAATGCTGTCGTTGACTTCATCGGAAAGACTTCCGGCCATTTTGAATGGGCGTCGACGACGATCAAGAACATACAGTTCATGAATGGTCCAACAAAATCTACATGTAAGCGATCCCATGGGGTAGATGTCCACTCCCAAGGATGTACTGGAGCAGCTTTCGGCATTTTACTGGTTTGCTGACAACTAATGCATGCCTTACAACCATGTTCGTTTTCGCTGTCAACGTTTGGCCACCATACGTAGGAGCGCGCTAAACTCTTCATCTTAACGATACCAATATGCCCATTGTGTAACTCGTCGAGTATGGCGGTACGAAGTTTTTCTGGAATGAGTACGCGATTTCCCCACATGATGCAGACTTGGTGACAAGTGAGCTCAGTAAGACGGCTATGAAAAGGCTTGAAAATCTCGTCGTTTGGAAGCTTGTTAGTTCCTTTCAAGACGTTGTCCAACACATGTGACAATACTGGATCACGTTGTGTCTCCTTCCGTATCTGGGTGCTCGATATGGGTAATCGCTCAATCTGCGATGTATAGATTAATGACGCTTCGTCAATGTAATCAACTTTAGCTGTAGGCATAGGTAATCTACTAAGACAGTCAGCGTTTCCATGGGCGTGTATTGCGATACTCAATGTCGTAAGTATGACTCGAAAGGTAAAGTGCATATCTCTGTAGTCTAGCAGCAGTCATCGCAGGTATGGGTTTATGGGGGTGAAGTATACTGACCAGAGGTTTGTGGTCGGTGATCAAAGTGAAACGACGACCATGTAGGTAACTGTGAAATTTCTGCATTCCCCAATACAGACCCAATGCTTCCTTGTCAATCTGAGCGTATCCTTTCTCAGCTTTCGTTAAGGATCGTGAAGCGAATGCAATTGGTCGTTCCGTACCGTCAAGCATGACATGGGAAAGTACACTTCCTAATCCGTATGGGGATGCATCACAAGCAACCTTCACTGGCAGTTTAGGGTTGTAGTGGCACAAAACTTGGTCTGAAGTTACAAGTTCTTTCACTGTACTGAACGCTTCATCACATGCTTTTGTCTATTTCCGGACTGTCTCTTCTTGTAGTAGTTCATTCATGGGTGCCACAACTGAAGATAAGTTCGGAAGAAACCGTCGATATTAGTTAATGAGACCCAAAAAATGAACGAAGTTGCTGCGTATTTTCTGGTTTGGGAGCATTAACAACAGCACTAATCTTGTCTGGTGATTTCTGCAAACCCTCTGAATTTATGATGTGCCCACAATAGGTAACAACACGTTATATTTTCATTGCGGATTTTTTTTGGCTCAGTACGGACTCTAAACGTATGCATTTTCTTTTAGTTTTAAGGCGTATGCGGATTTTATAAGTCCGCAATGACGATATAACATGTTTAACGCTATCTTTGAAGAATTCGCATTTCTCACGGTTCACTCTCAGGTTGTATGTATTCAACCTCTCTAGGACTGTGTCCAAGTTGTTTAAGTGTTCCTCTGTTGACCTACCGCTGATGATCATGTCATCGAGGATGCATGATGTGAACGGAATCTTCTGTAGTACCTGGTCCATTGCTCTTTGCCAAATGGCGGGGGCCGATGCCACCCCAAATGGTAGGCGGTTATACCTAAATAACCCTTTATGAGTGTTAATAGTTAGAAGCTCCTTGGACGCATCATCTACTTCTATCTGCAGATATGCCTATTTGAGGTCGATCTTTGTAAATTTCAGGGATGCAAAAATGTCCTCAATTCTTGGTAAGGGGTACTGTTCCACTTTCATAACAGGATTAATTGTGACCTTATAATCCCCGCAAATTCGCACTTGACCAGATTTCTTCTGTACTGGTACAATTGGTGATGCCCAATCACTGTGTTTCACAGAGCTTATAATTCCCTCTTTCTGTAATCGGTCTAGCTCTTTCTCCACCTTGTCTCTCATTGCATATGGGCCATTCCTTGGCTTGTGAAATTTTGGTTGACAATTTTCGGTGATGTAAATACTAGCCTTTAGCTTTTCCAGTTTGCCTAATTCATCCTTAAAAATGGATTTGTGTTTGTCCAGAATTTCATCCAGACCACTGGTCTTTGTCTCTTGTAGGACTTTAATTTCTTGCCAGTTCAATGGGAAATTCTTTAGCCAATCTCGGCCAAACAATGCAGGGTCATCTTGTGCCACAACCAGCAATTCGGCATTTCCTTTATGGTTGTTAACACACACCGGTACAGTCAGCATGCCAAGGGGCATGATCTTCTCACCAGAATACGTTTTCAAACGAATCGTGGTTTGTTGTAATGGTGGCATAGAGTTAAATATTTTCTTGTAGGTCGTTTCTGGTATGAGAGAAACTGATAAGCCTGTATCCAGCTCCATCGGGATTAACTTTCCATTTACGGTAGTATTCACTATAATCGGACTACCCTTTGTCTTGTGATTAACGTGGAACATTGGTTCATAATCATCTTCCTCTTGGACATATTTTACTTTTTTCTTGTTAGTAGTAGTGGCAGATTTAGATGACATTTCTCTCTTCTTTTTCAGCGGTCCGCCTTATGCGATGTACTACCGCATCTGTAACAATAGGCTGACCTAGTCTGTTTCTGTCCTTGAAATTTCTTTGGTTTATTTGTTTTGGTAAAAAGTTTATTCACATTACCTTCACTCTTCTGTGCTCGCGTTTGCTGCAACTCGGTAGCATCACGGCCTGCTGTTTCCATAGCAACCGCAATTTTAATCGCATCATCTAATGTAAGATCATGAACAGCCAACAAACGTTTCTGTATGTTCTCTTGGCGTAACCCACAGACGAAAGTGTCTCTAAGCGTTGTAGTAAGTGTAGTGCCAAAATTACAATGTATTGCTAATCTACGTAGTTCAGCAATGTATGCAGCAACACTTTCCCCAACATGCTGTCCTCGTTTGTAAAAACGAAATCGTTCAGCGATTTCTGATGGTTTTGGGCACAAGTGTGTTGTGAGCTTCGTAATAAGCTCATCGTAGCTCAGTGCGGCAGGCTTTGCCGGCGCGCACAGATTCTGCAGTAGTGTGTACGTCTTAGGCCCGATGAGTGCAAGCAGTGAAGGTACTTTCATTTCAGCGTCTACATGGTTGGCCAGGAAATATTGCTCGATTCTTTCTGCATAAGAATCCCATGCTTCGACTGTATGGTCAAATTCTTCTACTTTTCCAATTGTAAAGGCCATGCTCATCCTCGTCGCCAATATGTTATGTCTTGATAACAAATGCAAATGTAAAAAATATGTAGGTTCAGAACACGGCGTGTAAACTATCAAACTCCATTTATTCAAGAACAACAACAAGTAGTATGGAGCGCCGTAAGCGCAGTAATCTGGGACTATGCATATATAACATTCATCTACCACTACTACTAGGCCTAGGAGAAGGCTAGCGTGTCTGCTAAAGTATTAAACTAACTAAATAATAAAACAAAACAAACTCTTACCACTTGATAGTGAATACAGTACTGCTAAAATACTTCCAAGGAGTATGTTTATAACTGCCTAACATCATGAAAGTCCAGAGAAAAATTTAAAATACTACCGCTTCCGTTGGCTCTATATGAAGTGACAATTCAAATCAGCTGATTGGTGATTGGTCACTTGATGAAGTGACTAATCAGATTTGTGCAATTCTACAATAAAATTAATTGTTTGGTAGGTGGGCTATCACAGTAAACAGGTTAGGCTTTTGATAACATTTTGTTGTCAATCCTAAAGCATTGTTGTTAGTTGAATAGGTGAGGGATAAGTTTAGTGGACTACAGCCCCCCCCCCCCCAAAAAAAGTTACCAAAGTTCCCATAAGGCTACCAATGTATTAGCGGTTCCAGGAATTTTTCATAGAGTTTAAATATATTATATATATACATTCTATACATAATTTTTTTATAGATATAATTTTCAAAATAATTTTTAATATTTCATTTACAGATAAACACTTCCATAGCGTTCGTATGCATTTTATATATACTTTCTATAGAGAAGCAATTTTACAGATTATAAACGTTTCCATAGAGTTTTTATATATATTATATATATTTTCTATAGAATATTAAATTTTACAGTTTTTAAAATGACTGTGTTTAGAATATTATACAGTTCTACAGCATATACTATAAATAAATAAATAAATTTATATTGAACTTTCATATATATTATACTCTATATATATATTTTATATGTTCCTATAGAGATAATCCATATAAAATTGTTATAATACATTTTAAAAAATACAGGTAAGGACCATAATTTTTTTATAGAATAAATACAGAAATTTTTATTATGGAGAACCTGTCATATCATTTGTATAGAGTATTCTATAGAATTTCAATAGAATATGCAAGATGTAAAACATGTTGGTAGGACTATACTGGTCAGACACGAATGTGTCAATAAAATATTGAATGAAACAAAAAAAAATTAAAAACATAGAAATTACATTAAATATGTGTATATAGTATGTTATAGAATTCTATAGGAACTAGTTCCTCTATAAAACAATTTTATAGAAAATGCTAATTTCTGTAGAAATTGATTCGTCTCTATAGAAGGTCTATAAAGTTCTATAGAATGTTTATGTATGGGTATCGCACACACGTGGGGACTAACTCAAAATACGAGAGGACTCGGTTATCATTTCCAACATTACGAACAAGTTTATTTGGTTCCAACATACCATGAGTAACAATGTAACATCACATCGTCGTCCATCTTTACGTCTCCAAGGAACTCGCCTTGGAGAGGGTGCTACCCACTCTATTAAACACAATATTAAACAGTGCAAAGCATTGCTCGCACGGACGTATCGTCACAATACCGAACAAAGATATTCGCAATTTGAACGGGAAACTTTAGCTATTAAATGGGCTTGTGAAAAATGACAGCTTTACTTAAATGGAATTAACTTTGTAGTTCGAACTGACCATAAGCCATTGTGGTTTGTATTAAAGCCGGGTGTTAAACCTCCTTCGGCTCGAGTTGAGCAATGGCTTTTATTTTTACAGCAATTCTCTTTTTCAATTGAACATGTTAAAGGCTCAGAAAATCATGCTGATGTTTTAAGTAGATTGCCAATTTCTGATAACATTGCAAACAATTTGGATTCTTCAAAACAGCGCTCCGCAGTTGAGCTGAAAATGGACACAAAGTTTAGTTGACGTCATTTCTCCAAGCAGGAAGTAGGAGATACGAAAATCCCTGTATGTAGCTTTCAAAAAATACGATCCTAAATTTCAAATTTACTGTAAAACTACAATATTTTTATCTGATTGAGTAGAACCTGAAGAATGACGAAAAAGCACTGTTGATACGGCACATGTAACAGCGATTCCAGATATTGCGATAGACCACATATTAAGGATGTTTTCTTCATTAATTTTCCAATGCCGAAAACAAATAGGGAAAAATGTGAGCGCTGGATTCGTTTGTTTGGCTCACCAAAGCAACATTTAACTGTTGAGAAAATTACTAAATGTACTTTCATATGTAGCAAACATTTCATTGGCGGTAGAGGACCATCTGAAGACCATCCAGATCCATTACCTGCCCTTGCCTGCCAAGAACAAGTAAGTAGTAGT